AGGCATACTACTGCAAGACTTATAACCTTCGTTAACTATACCATCAGGACGTAAAATACCCCAATTCCCCCGTTACCATAATTAAAAGTTGAAATTCTTAAAATTAGGTTCATTCCAAATGAAGTTCTATTCGCAGTGAAAGTGGGAAGAATCACACTCATGAATGGAAGTAAAAAAATGTACACCTTGTTGTGGCGGCGAAAGCGAAACCGCCACCTCATATCGTCATAGCAAATATCCGGCCTATTTATTTACTTATTTATTTATTTATTTATTTAACACCAACAAGACATACACTAACAAAAGCATAATATTTTTGCAAAAAATCATAAAAACTAAGTGTAGACTTAATTATAGGTGTTACACACATTTCATTACAAAAAAATAGACACAAGTAAACATATGCAGTGAATTAAATTGAATACAAAAATTAAGAGATCAATAAATATATCGGAATTTAACGTTATATAATTAATTAAATTAAATCATGTATATTCCACTATTGTTATTAACATTAGAGATTTTATGAACGTTAAACATAACAAAAATAAAATAATTAATAAATTATAATATACAATTGTTTCCTAATCACAATTTAGCTTAAAGAAAAATAATATAATTTTACTGTGAATTACAATTATTTGAGGAATATAAATGTAATAAATCACGTTTAAATTTCCAAAGATTGTCTGAAAATATGTCAATATCAACTTTTCTATCTTTATGTTTGTTATCAGTAGTCATTATGGCACCAATACTATTCTTATGCGATACCTAGGTGGATTGAAAAGTACTCGGCCTAACACAGATCCATTCAATTCTAAAAATCAAATCTACCCACATTATTTAGTTCAGTTCAGACTAATTCATTGTGTGAAGTTCGAAACGTGTGCGCTAATTAGTTGTGATTTTATAAATTTATTAACAAAGTAATCGGACATAATTTCCGCGAATGGAGCAAATCGAGCAGCGTGCCGTCATAAATTTATAAGTACCTCCATAAGAAGGGGCTATCATCAAAAGCCATCCATGATGACATGGTTAGTACATTAGGCGATTGTGTTCTGTCATATTCATCCGTCAAAAAATGGATAGCAGAATTTAAGCGTGGTAGAGAGAGTGTGAAAGATGAACCCCGCTCTCGAAGGCCTTCGACGTCAACTACTGACGAAAATATTAAAAAAGTACTTGATTTAATAATGGGAGACCGCAGATTAAAAATTAGAGAGATAGCCGAGATTATAGGCATCTCTTATGAATGAACTCAAAACATCATTGTCAACGAGTTGGGTTTCCACAAAGTGTCTGCGAGGTGGGTTCCGCGACTGCTTTCAGTTGAACAAAAAAGGACGCGATTGACTATTTCACGCGACTGTTTGGAGTTATTTGAAGCTGATGCAGATGATTTTTTGAATCGTTTTGTTACTATGGACGAAACATGGGTTCATTACTGTACACCGGAAACAAAACAACAATCAAAACAGTGGAGAAGACCTGGTTCACCACCCCCTAAAAAGGCTAAGTCGATTTTGTCGGCAAATAAGGTGATGGCTTCAGTATTCTGGGACTCGAAAGGTGTGATTATGATTGATTATCTTGAAAGGGGTCAGACTATAAACTCTGATTACTACTGCACCTTACTACGTCGTTTACGAGAGGAAATAAAAGAAAAACATCGAGGAATGCTCAGAAGAAAAGTCCTGTTTCATCAAGATAACGCCCGTGTTCACACGTCAGTACAGTCAATGGCTGAAATTGACAACTGTGGCTTTGAACTGTTACAGCATCCGCCGTATTCACCTGATCTGGCACCATCAGACTTCTTTCTGTTCCCTAACCTAAAAAAGCACTTGGGAGGGCAAAGATTTTCGACAAACGCCGAGGTCAAAGCAGCTGTAGACGCATATTTTGACTCTAAGGAAGAATCACTTTTTTTCAACGGTCTAAATGCTTGGAAGGGGAGGTGGCAAAAGTGTATTGAACTTGATGGTGATTATGTAGAAAAATAAAAATATAACTGATTTAGTATGTGTTTATTTTCTTGGTTAGGCCGAGTACTTTTCAATCCACCCTCGTAATTTATATATAGCATTAAAACTCAACATCAGTCTATTAATCGGAGAATAGCGCGCTTGACGAGAACGTGTGCTCTTTTCTACGAATGGTATATAAGACGACGGCCTTTTTGACTTCAATGCGGTACGAAAATTTAATTTGGCTAGTAAGTAAGAACTATCAATGACGCCATTCACCAACTTATGCAAGAAAATAAGGTCAAGGAGCTGTCTTCGATTCGAAAGTGGCTGAAGCTTAAAGTAATTTAGCTTATCTTCGTAAGTTCTAAGAGTTTTAACCAGGTTATGATCGTAAGATAAATGCAAAAGAAATCTCTTTTTTATCCTTTCGATTCTATGTGAGTAAATATTAAAGTGGGGATTCCATACTACGCTGCAGTATTCCAAGATACTTCGTACCAAGGCTGAGTAAATAATTATTTTATTGCGAGTATCCCCGAATTGCTTACAGTTACGGAAGAGGAAGCCAAGAGTTCTAAAACCCTTGTTGACAACATTATCTATGTGGATATTATAACGAAGCTATGTCAAGCATAACTCCTAAATCGCGTATGTGGGGAACTTCAGACAGAATACGATCATCAATGTAATATGTTGTCGCAAGAGATGTTTTCTTTCTAGAAAATTTTATAACATGACACTTGTCAGCATTTAGTGTCATACCGTTGCTACGACACCATAATGTCCAGTTATTTAAGTCTTCCTATAAGAATTCTGCATCATAATTTGAGGAGACAGGTCTAAAGATCTTTAGATCGTCAGCAAACAAATAAGATTTCGAATTCTTAAAGCAATTACTGATATCGTTGATGAAAATGTTAAACAACAAAGGCCCAAGATGAGATCCCTGAGGTACGCCAGTATAGGCAAAAAACGGCTCAGAAGCATAACCATCAACAACAACAGTTGACGACCGATTGGCCAGATATGACTTAAACCAGTCCAGCGAAGGGTTTGCTATACCAATCCTTTTGAGTTTGACAAGTAAAATAGAGTGATCAACCTTGTCAAAGGCCTTACTGAAATCTGTGTAGATTGCATCAACGGATTGGCCAGTATCAAGAGATTCAGTAATGTCTTCCACAAAGGAAACTAGGTTAGTTACTGTTGATCGAGCTTTCACAAACCCATGCTGTTCAGATGTTACAAATTGCTTAAAGTGCCATGAAACACGATATACGTTTCTCAAACACTTTTGAAATTGATGTAATGCCATCTGCTCCAGTTCCTTTCTTGATGTCAAGTCTTTTTAAAACATTATAAACTTGGTCCACTGTATAAGATATATAATCAAGGTACACATTGCAACAAGGGTTCATAAGATTAGGACTAGTATCGATGTTTTGGATATTATTATTGCGACTGTATACTGACGAAAAATGACTAGCGAAAACATTACAAATGTCTGTTCCATTGAAAACAAATTTATTATCGTCTTTAATTTTAGAAGAATACGAACTTTTACCTTTCTTTTGTTTTAGGAATGACCAAATCAACTTTGGGTTTGACTTTAAAGAGAGTTCAAGGCATTCTATATACTTAGCGTAGGAGAATGCTAGCATCTCCTCACATCTTCTTTTCAGTAAGTCAAAACAGAGTTTATCGCGAGGATTGTTATATTTGCGAACTTTCATCCTATATTTATATTTTTCGTTAATACATTTTATCAGACACGGAGTAAACCAAACTGGGTATTTATGACTACGCGGTTTAGCCTTAGGTACATATTTCCATATTAACTTACGAATTATGTCATAAAATACTGCAACCATATCATCAACACAAAGACATTCACCCAAAATTTCCCTCCAATCAATTTCATTTAGATCCTTTCTTATATTTTCATAATCAGCCTTGTGGAAGCAAAATTTTGTAATTGTGTTATTAGTGACTAGTGGTGCTGGATCTGTAAAATCTATCGAAAAAACTAATGGCGGATGAAGGGGATCAACACATGTCAAAGGATCAGGACATGACAGAATATCAACAATGTTAGTATTAGACAAGACAAGATCGAGCATTTTGAGCATTTTTGAGTTCGTAATTAGATTAAATTGGTTCAATTCATTGCACGAGAGAAAGTCTGTTAAGAGATTCTGTAGATAGCTGTTGGAGTATTTTGCACAAAGATGCCCGTGGGGCTCTAAAGACCATGTTATACCACTTAGATTAAAATCTCCAGCAACAATTATATTTTCATCGAGTGATTCCAATACTCGACTCGAGTTATTAATAAAATGCTCAAAAATGTGTTTTTGGACGGGTGGGGGAATATACACAGCACATATATAAAGTCTCTCAGACTTGCCTTGGACGTTTTCTACTTCTACGCAAACCCAAAGATCCTCGCACTTGGACTCGAAACTAAAGAGCCGCTCCGAATTTATTTGCTTAGATACAGCTATAAGTACACCCCCGCCATTCTTTAAAGCGTGAAAACCACTACTCTCCCGATCACGTCTATAAACATTATAACGATCATCAAAAATTTCAGAATCGAAAACACTCCCATTTAACCACGTTTCCGTCATAATTACAATATCGTATGAATTACAAACTATGTTATTAAATAGATCAATTGTTTTTGATCTTAGACCACGAACATTTTGGTAGTAAATAGAAATTTTATTCTGTAAAGTGCCTTTATGTAATAAAAAAACCAGTTTAGTGAATTTAGCGCCACTCTATGACAAATTATTCACAGTATCATGATTTCGTATATGAATGTAGTTTGATCCTTCACATTTTCTGACAAAAATCTTTCCATCACGAACCCAAACAAAACGGAAAACGAGCTCTTTTTCCTTACGGCGAGCTGCAGCATGTAAGATTTTTCCCTCTGGCGTAAGATTTTCAGCAACGCGAAGAATACTCCAATATGGAGTATTCTTCGCGCTTGCGATTCCCAAATGGCTAGTGTTAAGCTTATCCGTACTCTTTTTTTTTATTATATTTGATGGTAGCTGCTAAAAATTCGTCACGTAGTCTTGGACTACTGAACTTTACTAATATCGATCTCGGTCGAGGGCTTCTAGTATTCATTTTCGCTAGTCTTGCACAAAAATATATATTTTCTGGGGCTATAGGACATTTTATGATATTGCTTAGTTGTTGTACTGTGTTAACTAAATTCTCTTGTCTATTCTCTGGAACACATTGGATCTCAATATTTAAAGCTCGTGTCTGCTGTTCAAGTTGCGTAAGACGAGTTATGATACTCTTGTTAGCTGCACGCAGAGTTTCGTTCTCCTTAGTAATGTGTTGCATTTGTGCAGATTGGTTAGCATGATCGGATTTAATTTTATCTATATCTTGGTTTAACGACGACAAAGAAGTTTCAAATGAGGCAAGTGTATTTTTTATTTCGTGAATTTTAGGATGTAAATCTTTACTAAAAATGTTGCGCAATTCCTCTCTAATTATTTCACGTATATTACTAGCCGATAAACAGGAGCAATTAGAACGACTTTTTACACGTTGAGTTACGAATTCTATTTCCACCGGTGAGTTTCGAGCTGGAGTGTTGTAATGATCACCTCTTGGTTGTTTACACCTGCAAACGTCACATATCCATAAACTCTTCATTTCCGAGCTCATCACGTTAAAATCTTGCATTGTGATTCGCGTGCATGCTACATGATATTTGTCATTGCATCGGTGACATTGCAATGACATGGAGTTATCCAGTGCGTTAGGGCACCCAGCACATTCAAAGTTAGCCATGATTTAATGATGAAAATTGTCTACGAAATAAACTAAATAAACCAAAAAAAAAATTTAATCTTGGATTTGAACCCACGACGCTCAGCGTATTACCACTTGCTCTGTTGCTGCACTACAGTCTATGTTATGTTAGGTGACGAAATTAGACACTAAAATTTACGCTAGCGACGATCTGTAGTAAATGAGGTCAACGAACTAATGTTTTTTATATGTGAAGTACAACAGCACTTGCACGCTCCGATTACTAAACAAGGTTAACAAACGACCGTTTAACACATAATTTTTAAAATTTTTTGCTAAATATCTTCAGACAGAGAACACTGATTCAACTAGAATTTCACACATTGTATACTACACGATAATTAAACACATTAATAACTAAGAATTTTGCTTGAAACGAATTAATAACTTTAAAAACAGAATTACAGGTGTCTATTACTCGACGCTCGGACGAAAACTCTTTGACAATCTATGGGGGGGGGGGGGATGTGGATTTTTGATAGGCTGTAATGATGACGATAATGAGTTCTATGCGTTCTAAATATATTAAAAGTAAAAAAGTAGCAGCTTACATCTTGTCATCGTCATTACTGGACAGTCAATTTTTGGTCGAAATAGTTTTCGCTGCGTACGGAATGACCTCAACTGCGGAACCAAATATGCAGGTTTTCCTGAAGGAAACTATAAGAATAATGAGAATTTTGCAATAATCGCAGGTAGACCATTTTGAATCAGTTTGCATACACATAATAGTAAGTGAACTAATAGCCATATCCATTTTTTTTATATTTTTGATGGACGAAACTATGTTATCTATTTAAATTATTACACTTTTAAAATGAAATAACGAAAAATTTAAAAAATTGACGTGAAAATTTTAATTTAATAAAAAATTTTAATTAAAAAATTTTTATTGATTTAATTACATTTTTAATTTTTAATTCAAATTAATTTATAAATCTCATTATTTTGACATTTAAATGCAATCTATTTAATTTTATTTTATATTATTTAATAATATTAGTAACTGTAGGTAAAATGTACTTTTTTATTTGATAACAGAAGGCGGTGTTTTGATAACTAAAATGTAGATCGTCTTCGTAGTTACAAATCATTAAACAAAGGTTAAAACAAATTAGAAACTCCAATTATAAATAGGATATTTTTTTGAAAATCCTGCATAATTGTTACTCCGGAACTTCTTATTTAAAGTTCCGTAATCGGATAAAAAATATAAGTTGCCCCGGGTTACTAACTTTCTACATTGAAAATTTTATGGATATCGGTCCGGTAGTTTTTGCGTGAATCGTGAATACACAGACAGACAGACAGACAAAAATTCTAAAACTTTAAAAATTCTAAAAATAAGTCTCCTGGACTTATTTTTTCAACAATATAATAGAATTACAGACACGACTTTTCTACAGATTTATTATATGTATAGATGTATAGATAATTCGCGTAAATATAAGAAAACATGTATTTTTTAATTATAAATATATATTTATTAAAAAATAAATAAAAAATATATTAAGCATACTACCGTATGGTGGTAAAGGAAAACATCTTGAAGAAAACTGCATAGTAGAGGAGTATTTTGAGTAAATGTGAATTCCAACCACGCGCACTAGAGTAGATCGACGAAATAATTGCTTCATGACTCTCTCAGAAATAAGTGGTGGGTAGTGGCCTGTATCCAGGTGAAATGTAAATAGGTTCTAATCTTACTTTCACGTACATCAATACGTGCGGTGTCAGTTTGTGTAATAAAATGTTTTATAATTAATTTAAATATCCCCCTTTCAGACGCACCATGGCGCGAATTTGCTGAAACATTTAAAACGTATTCACAAAGAGGAATATAAAAAGGTCTTGGATCTTAATAGTAGCCAAGAAGAAAACACTGCCATCGAACCCCGAAATTGTACAAATTCTGAAATATTACTAAGAGAATGCACTAACTTAGTGGCAGTTCATGGGCATCCTTTTTCATTGATGAATGACACGGCTTTTCAAAATTTAATATCATTGATACCAAATAATGGAGCGATAGTCAATGCACAAACTATAAAAGAAAATGTAAAATTAACAGCAACAAAAATGAGAGATGAGCTTGTCAACGCATTGCAAGGTAAAATTTTATCCTTAAAGATTGATATCACTTTTCATGCAACCAGAACCTTTATGGGTATTAACTGCCAATATATAGAAGATGGTCAAATCATTTTACGAAATCTAAGCATTATCGAAATTTTCCAACGTTACAGCTCGGAGCACCTAAATGAATTACTGATTAATAATCTTAATAGGCTCGGCATAGATATTGAACATAACAAACAAATTTACAACATAACACTAGATAATGGGATCAATATGATTAAAATGAGCAAAATCATAAATAAATCTGGCTTGAAAATGGATGACGCATCTGATCATAGACAGACCGATTCAAATTTGTGCAACACCTGTGAGTCTGATTTAGATATGGAATATAATATTGAGTCGGAAGAGACTGAAAATATTATTGATAAGTTATCTGATGTACTAAGAGTACTATTTCAAAATCACCTGAAAAAGCCTGAAAGTGGTATTGGATTTGTTAGATGCGCAGTACACACACTTCAATTAGCTATACAAGATGCAGTTAATGATGCGGCTATTGGTAACATAATTTCCAGTTGTAAAGCGGTAATGCGACGTCTGAGGACACCACAATTTGTCAGACTTATAAGAGAAAACGAAAATTTTTTCCCAAAATTGAATTTTAGCACCAGTTGGCTTTCAAAAGTCTATATTTTGGAGAGCCTTTTGGAACTAAAAGAAATATGTGCAATGGATGCCCGCTTACATCTACCTGATTCTACTTGGGATGGCTTAGAAGATTTTTTGAAATCTGTAACACCTGTTAAATATTTAACGAAAAAACTGCAGGATGAACTATTGACAATTGGCGATTTCTATATTGAATGGATGATGTGTATATTTAAGCTTACAAAAGTAAATACAATGTTGTCTTCAAATTTAATATCTAAAATGAAAGAAAGCGAAAAAACGTTGTTTGAAAATGATGTATTTTTAAATGCAATATTTTTGGACCCACGGGTAAACTCAATTTTGACGTTAGATCAACAGAAACAAGCAAAAGAAAATTTAACTAATCTTTACATTCGATATTTCCTTGAAGGGTGTTTCGGACGTGAATATAAACAAGAAATAACAAACACCTCAGTTCCGACCATAGACAAAAGATACGAAATATCTGAAGCCAGAGGCGAACTAGATTTTTTTTTGAATAAGAGCTATATAACTCGTCACGATGAAATGATGAAACAACGAAGTGACACATATGCCGATATGTTAGACAACTTGCAGCAATCCCTGACTTTATTTTTAGCAGAACCATTACTCAAATCTACCGAAAATGTGTTATCATACTGGGAAAAAGTTCGTGTAAGATTCCCATTTCTATATAGGTTATCATCTATAGTACTCGCTGCACCAATCACGCGAGTAAGCGTGGAGAGGCTATTTTCCTCTGTTAATTTTGTACTTTCGAACTATAGGTTGTCTATAGAGGACGATGTGATTGAGGATTTATTGTTTATCCGTAATAATAGTGTTTCGGTTAAAAACTAGCATTCCATTACATTGTACTATTAATAAAGGAATAAGATTATGTATTTAAATACGAAATAAACATGCAATTTACGTTCTGTAAAATTTTCAGGCAGAATTAACCTAATTCCGAAGTAGGTTTCACGACGAAGTCCAATAGTGATTTCACATAATAAAAATTTCACGTAATAATTAACAACTCGTAAACCGACGTTGCGACGGTCGAACATATTTCGTCCGTCAGACTTCTTACCGACCCGATCGTCGGTTATACACGATGATGTCGGACAATAATGTCGGACAGACTTGGTTTGGCAGACAAGAACTGTTAGACTGTTGCATCGTGTGTACAAAAATGGGAGTAAGTAGTAATAAAACCAATACTTTACTGATATCAAAAAACGTAGACTATGTATTATTTTAGCTATTAATAAAGAATTAGTAGGTACTACAAAAGTCGGTGTATTTTATTCACTACTTTTAAAATGTTTTTCTTAAAAAAAATTCAGGGACAGGGTCTTCCATTTCAGGTTGGATGTATGTTGTTTACATAGCCATATAGCTCGAAGAACCGACAACCGATGAGGAAAAAAGGTTCTCGAGTGGCAGCCTCGTACCGGTTGTCGAAGTGTAGGACGACCGCCACTAGATGGAGTGACGACCTGGTAAGACATGTACGAAAAAAATTAAAATTCTCCCTGATTAAGCGATAAGCGCTTTTCGCCTCAACCATTACGGGGAATGAAGTAGCGTTTTCATGCGTACACGCCGAACAACAATACCGCCTTAAGGCCAGTAGAGGATGATATGTAAAAGTATGTGTAACATGTATGACCATATTTAAGGTCTTAAAAGAGTTACTTCTGTTCTTATTCCAAAAAAGCAGATGACATTTAGAGCCCTAATCACAAAAAAAATAATGATTTATGAAATTAAAAATTATAATGAAAATTGTCCCAATAACGTTTCATCTTTCTTATCTGAAATAAAAAAAATTAAGAAATACAATCTTTAAAATTACATTTATGCCTTCTCGTTTATTGATAATCTTAGAAGTTTATGTCGTTTGTTATTAAAATAAAAAGTAAGTTTTTATTACATATACCTACATATAATTTTCTTAAAAGTTCTTAACTTGCCTTCAATTTTACTTTATTAAGGCGAATTTTATAGCTGCGATAAACATTTGTTATCTGTCCAATAACCTTCAAGCGAAATTGCATAAGCTAGAGAGAGTTCGTTTATTATTATCTTATTTAAAATCAGGTTTCATAAATATATACAAGTTTCATAAAATATTGCACGAAAGCTTAGTTATTTGCCTTTTATTTATAGGATAAGAGTGACAAACGTGCACATAGACCACCTTATGGTAAGTGGATGCT